GCCACGAGGTCCGCGAAGTAGAAAGCCTCGTAGTGGCTGCGCGGATCGTCTCCCGCCATGCGCATTATCCACATGCACGCCGCCAACAACAGCCTGAAGCAATCAGCCACCCGAGAAAGATGATCGTGYGAGATGAACTCGCCGTCGATGAGCGCCCCCATTTGCACGGCCGCGCGGAATGCATACGCGACGCGGATGACGGTGGACTCCTGGTGCGCCGCCATGTCGTCGTCCTCTGGTCTGTCCTCGATGTTGGCGCCGGCGAACCAAAGCGGTAGGTCAATGGACAGATCTATCGTGTGCGCGCAAATCGCCGGACTGACAACCTCGCACCACTCCTCGCCGTACCACATGGCACGCGCAATGTCCGTCGCAAAGGATTCCAGCGAGTACTGGAAAGCCACATGGTATCCCCTTGGCCGATTTCCGGACTTGAATACCCATCCGTGCAAGATGCRCRGAGCAAYGTTCTCCACTDCCGCCGCACGGGAGATCGCTTGCTGCAGCTGCGATTGGTCGACGATCCTGGCCACGCGCGTGCTGGCTTTGGGCAGAACGACGCTCCGAGGGACGTCAGGCGCTGGAAGTCCGCTGGCGATGGCGACGAAGTAGTCTTTCGTTTTGTGTACGATGTTGTATAGTCTTCGCCCCTCCCCCGTCGTCCAGAAAGCTTTGTCATCGACCCAAAGGACGACACGATCAATGAGGTCTTTCGTCATGACACTCCTTCGTGGCCGACTTGAACCGGCCTCGCCTGCCCCCCGCTCGACTTTCCTCTCGCCACGCGCGTCTGCCACGACTTTCCCCCCGCCAACACGTTGGACGGACCCTCCATCACCAGCGTCGTTGCGCTGACGTGGCTGAGACGGCGTGGCGGGCAGCCTGCCCGAGACTGGCCTATCGTTTGTAGCAACCCGCACGACCACCTCCGGCGGTGGGGTCGCCGTCGTACGAATGCGAATGCGGCGTCTCTCCAAGGGCTCGTCATCATCGCCGCCAAGATCGACGACGGAAGCCTTCTCTGTCCGCGTTTCACGGCCACGCAGTTGCTGCGCCTCGTGTGGAGGGGTTTAAATCCTCTTCGAAGCGGTGCGATCAGAAGAGCCCTGCCGATCGCTCTCGCATACTTCAGACGTTCTCACCTCCGCCTGCTCCTCCTCCGCCGTGAACTCATCGTCACAGTCCCCTTCCACTTCCCCCGCCCAACCTTGCGCTCCACGACCACGAACCCTTGGCAACGCACCTTCCGTACGCACCCTCTTCGCTTTCGGGGCCTGCTGCCACCCTCTTCCCTGCTCTTGACTATCGCCGACGACCACGTCGCACTTCTTCCCACGGGTGTTCCCTCGCGTAGACATGTTTCGTGGCGACCTTTGAAGGCGAGCTTGGCAGTGTGATCGGACGAGCGGGGAGTGTGGCCGACCTGGCGAAAAATATGTCTCCCGTGAAAAAGGTCTCCCATGCGGCTGTGGCGTGACGACAAAGACGTGCATGTGGCAGACAGATGATCTGTCCTTTGCGGGAGGAAGACGCGACGACGACGGACGTTGCTTCCACGGCCGGCACGACAAGCACACGTGGAGGAAGACGACAAACAGGAAGACGACGACAACGAGAAGCAGCAGAGGCAATCTCCTCTGCATGTCTGCCATGAATTCGACGTCGACAGGCGACCTTGCACATGACGTCGTGCTGAACTTTCTCCTCACAAGCCCGCGGACAAGGACGTTGGGCCTTCATATACCGTCGACCGCCAGCGAAGACGACAAACGATGCCGCCTGCGATTCAAAAAAGTGACCGTTGGCGCCCACGATAGCCTCCGTGTGTCGTCGTGCGCACGTCTGGGGACTCCTCCGTTGCCTGCACCCGAGCCAACGGTCCTCAACGCCCGCGAGCCAGGCCACGCTTCGCCCATCGCACTCCACCCCACCGGCCAACGGCCACCCGTGGGGGCCGTTGCCGTCGTCAACCGGCAGAAAACCTCCGATGTCCGCCCACCGACCCGACGGACCTCTCCTGGACCACCACCTCCGTGTCGACGGTGCCATTCTCGTGACGCGACGACTCCGTGAAACGCGGGAATCCTAAATTTTTCAGTACGTCCGGGGCTACTGGAAAATTTAGGACGATTTGGCTGGGGAATCCTAAATCTTTTAGGACGAGTCCTAACGCCGTTTTCACATTTTCGATTCCCGCGTCCGATTTAGGATTGCGTGCAACCAAGACGCAATCCTAAAAACAGGAACTTTTAGGAGTGTCTAACGAGACCCTAACATAGTTTTTATTCGGATTTTTTGGATTTTTTTTTTTTTTTTTTTTTTTTTGCCTGGGGCCTTCCCTGGTCCTTGCACGGCCGGGCCGCCCGGGAAAATAGGGTGACCCGGGCACACACACACACACACACACACACACACACACACACATTTTTTGAGTTTATAGAGAATATGACAACACAGGCTTGTCACCAGTCCATAGAGTGGACACCTCTTACCCCTCTCTGAAGTCAAGTAAACCATACACCAATGTAGTTTTCTCAAGAAGATTCTATGCGAACATTTTCACTATGTTAACCTGGCTTGACCCTGACAGGAAGCTGGATGTCTTAGCTGCCCAGGGGAAAAAAAAAAAAAAAAAAAAAAAAAAAAAAAAAAAAAAAAAAAAAAAAAGACTGACCTGGAGACAATGATGGAAGGAAGAGCACTGGTGGCACTGGCACCCATCAGAAACGTTTTGCAGCCCACCACCCGGGGAGCATCTAATTAGTGTCCACACTCAGTCGCACCTCCCCCACCATGATCCTCAATCGGGCAAGCCAGGAGAGGAGTTGCAGGACAACTGCTGGAAAAGGAAACACCAATCACAGCGCAGCCACCTCACGGAGAACAACCACAGGTCCGACAACCCATGAGCCCCGGCCAAACCCCCCTCTCCGCCCCCTTGTTCACAGGCCCACTTCATTCCTTTTTTTTGTTTTTCAACTTCGTATGTTGGAAAACCTACTTAACGAGGTGATACGAGCAGCCCCGATAAGTGGGCCCCAGCATCGAAGGCTCCATCTATTGGTGGGGAGCTGCACCTGCTGGAAATCAGGTCCAGCGTCCCTGTACAATGATGTGATGGCCCACTCCATTCCCTACCCCCACTTCCCCGCACACCACTGGCAATGACGCCAATGCCCCCTCTGACCCCAGATTCACTTCACCCCCTATACCCAACTCCGCGTTTCCCCTCCCCTCCCCCCCCATTGATGACCCCTCACACCCTGCACTCTCCCTAAAAACGACATCTTTTTTTTTACTTTTTTTTTTTTGGGGGGGGGGACAAAATGCTCCAATCTATTAATGGTGAAATCACTTCAGCACAAACGGAAGTTCTGGCCAGGTACTGCATTCAAGTACGGCAGCCACACTGGCACTAAAAAGCCGCTACAAGTGGCAAGGGCTATTCTTCCAAAAAAAAAAAAAAAGAAGAAAAAAGACAAGTGGATACAGGCAGAGGCAGTGACAGTGACAGACTCCTGAAGACCTGGCAGAAGGCCTGGAAAAGAGCAAGCATTTGAGTACAGACTCAGACTCAGACTCAGGGCATACTCACACTGCCAGTATCTGGAATGCATCTGGCGGCATTTACCGTTGAACTTGGATGCATCTGGGCGCAGCTAACGTCCAGAAAAATAAGTTCAAAAGTCATAGTCTGAGCATGCCCTCAAAAAGGAAACTTAAGGCTCCCATCAACCAAAGATTGAAATTGGTTTCAAGGTCCAATTGTTCAGACATAGGTTCAGGATGAAGCAACTCACATGTAACAGTCATGTGTCCGTTCAGGATGGATAAACTCAAATGTAACAGTCATGTGTATCAGGCAGGGATGATGGGCCCACCTCCCAACAGGTGATACTCCCCACCAATGGACAGGAGCCATGGATTAAACGCAAAAAAAAAAAAAAAAAAACGAGGAGAAAATATTTCTTTTTTTTTGGGAAGGAGGAGAAAATAGTGACAGAGCTTCCCCCAAGAACAATGCTTCTAGTGCCGTAGTCCAGAATGGATGCTGACAATGCTTCATTCTTTCATTATTATTATTTTCTGTCCAGAAAGCAACCCGCGGTAATGCTAGGGGTGCTGATAGGAGCAGGCACCACTAGCACTGCCAGGGAGGCTCCATCTATTGGTGGGGAGCATACCTGAAATCAAGACTGCAACCATTCAAGTGCCGGTTAGTACCTATAAGGCTATAACTATGTCTATGATCAACCTTCACTCCAATACTGACGTGCATGGATAACCTTCACTCCAATAAGTGACCTGCACACTCTGCCCTGCATCTGTACAGTCTCCCTCTCCCTCTCTCTCTCTCTCTCTCTCTCTCTCTCTCTCTCTCTCTCTCTCTCTCTCTCTCTCTATCTATCTATCTATCTATCTGTGTGTGGCTGTGTGGCTGTGTGGCTGTCTGGCTGTCTGGCTGTCTGTCTCTCCCTGTCTGGCTGTCTGGCTGTCTGTCTCTCGCTGCCTCTCGGTCTGTCTGTCTGTCTGTCTGTCTGTCTCTCTCT